AGCAGAGAGGACAGGCCATGCACTAATGTGAAGGTCTACAGCTAACCATTGCTAGTTGGAAGGTACTGTAGCTGATACATGTTTTTCTTTTTTTATTAAAAAAAATTTTTTTTTAATGTTTATTTATTTTTGAGACAGAGAGAGACAGAGCATGAGTGAGGGAAGGTCAGAGAGAGGGAGACACAGAATCTGACACAGGCTCCAGGTTCTGAGCTGTCAGCACAGAGCCTGACGTGGGGCTTGAACTCACAGACCGTGAGATCATGACCCAAGCCGAAGTCGGCCGCTCAACCGACTGAGCCACCCAGGTGCCCCTACATGTTTTTCTTTAGGAGGGTCACCAGCTAAGCTTCAAAGTCAGACACCCTTTCTTTTTTTAATTTTATTTTATTTAGAGAGAGAGAGTGAGACTGAGATTTGGGGAGAGGGGCAGAGGGGGAGAGAGAATCTTAAGCAGTCTGAGCACAGAGCCCACTGAGGGGCTCAATCCCATGACCCTGGGATCATGACCTGAGCTGAAATCAAAAGTTGGACGCTCAACTTACTGAAGCACTCAGGCGCCCCATCCAGATGCTCTTTCATTGTTTGAAAACATCTGTAAGGATGGAAAGGTTCCCCTCCCACAGACACACATACACAAACACACACGCGCTCACACATGCACACACACACACTCTGTTCTTTTGTTCTTTCCATTTTGCCATCTTACTTAAACATGGAAATATGACTTCTCTCTTAAGTGGATTTGTTTTTCCTGCAACTTAGAAGCATTTTCCTTTGTTTAATGGCCTATTAAAATGGTGACCCATAAATCAGAAATCTTGTAATAGTTCTTAGTCTGGTTTAAGGTAATTATTAAGAGCTTTTCATTCCTACCAACTCAGCTAGTTATGGACTAGTCCACAGGACCTATTTTCTATCCTTTATCAATGTGTGTATCTGTTTTTTACACATCATTTTAAAATGTGAGCTCCACTCTAAAGAATGAAGGAAGAAGCCTATGATGGTCGAGCTTGAAGAACTGCAAATTATGTGATAATTATTATAAGCTTATTACTAGAACTTTTAAAAATCTTAATCTAATTTCAGCCTAGAATAAATAGTCTAGATCTTGGTTGTTTTCAACTCATTTCTTTTAAAAATTCATTATCTTCCTTTTCTGTTCCTTTTCACCCTCCCAGGATTGTCACCAACTTGTGCCTCACTATATATTTAATTTTTATGACAAAAATTTAGTTGGGAAGGATATACAATTGACTTTTGAATGGTAGAGAGCTAAGGGCATTGACCCCATGCCATTGAAAATCTGCATATGTCTTCTGACTCTCCCAAATGTTGACTACTAATAACTATTGTTTTTTTGTTTTTAATTTTTTTATTTGTTGGGGTGCCTGGGTGGCTCAGTCGGTTAAGCGTCCGACTTCAGCTCAGGTCATGATCTTGCAGTTTGTGAGTTCGAGCCCCGCATCGGGCTCTGTGCTGGAAGCTCGGAGCCAGGAGCCTGCTTCGGATTCTGTGTCTCTCTCTCTCTTTGCCCCTCCCCTACTCACACTCTGTCTGTCTGTCTGTCTGTCTGTCTCAAAAATAAAATAAAACATTAAAAATATTAAAAATTTAAAATATTTAATATTTATTAAAATATTAAAATTTTAATATTTTTAATGTTTTATTTTATTTTTGAGAGAGAGAGAGAGAGACACTGTGTGAGTGGGGGAGGGGCAGAGAGAGGGAGATACAGAATCTGAAGCAGGCTCCAGGCTCCGAGCTATCAGCACAGAGCCCGTCATGGGGCTGGAATTCACGAACCATGAGATTATGAACTGAGCTGAAGTCGGACGTTTAACCGACTGAGCCACCCAGGCGCCCCTACTGATAACTGCTGTTGATCAGAAGCCTCACCCCTGATATGAACAGTTGGATGACACATATTTTGTATGTTATATGTGTCATATACTGTATTCTTATAATCCAAGTAAACTAGGGAAAAGAAAATGTTAAGAAAATTATAAGGAAGAAAAAATACATTTACAGGACAGTACTGTACAAAATTTGTACGTCAGCCTATGTAGTTCAAACCCATGTTTTTCAAAGATCAACTATGGTTGGAAGAGACTGCAGAGACAACCAGTTGTATTTTTTATTCTAAGACTAATTTCCTGAGAATGTGGACTATTCATGTCGCTTTCACGGGCCTCTGTTTCTAACTTTATAATATGATCTCCAGATTCTATTTACTTCTTATCCTGTTTAATGCTCTGACATTTCTCTGTGACATAATAAAATGTGGTAAAGTATAAGAAGGTGCTCAGAAATTGTCTTTTAAATTATGCATGAAGACGACCTAGGTCCAGATAGAACATTTGGACCAGAAAATGAGGTTGTGCACTAGAATTTAGTAGGACTAGTCTCCATCAACCTAGACCTCCTTCGCTGATCACTCAAGATCTCATTGTGAGTCCTTTTCTTGTATGTTTTGACTTTCCAAGGCAGAAAACAACTCGGTGACGATTCATTTTTACTTAGCAGGTGTTAAATATTTTTCAGTGCAGTGTTTGGCCAAAGGAAGGTCAAATTAGTCTCTTGATTCTGACTGCACATTAGAATCATTTGGGTTTTAAAGGAATACTGGCACCTGACGCCTCCCCCCAACACACTTTCCCCTATCCCCAAGATACTGATTGCAGTTGGCGTGATGGAGTTTGGGCATTGGCATTTTTAGAAAACTTTCTTGGTGATTCTAGTATGTAGCCAGTGTTTAGAACTACTGGGTAGAGTTACTGTAGGTTTATGAGACTTATAATCCTAATAAGGATATGGACAAAGCACGTCCCTAGATGTGCACACCCAGAAAAGTAAGAGAAATAGAAATATTTCTATATGACATCAGTCATTTAACCTTTCTAATCCTACAGGGTCTAAAATAGGAACGATATAATACTTGGCTGAAATGAAGTGGTTCTCAAAGTGTCGTCCCAGACCAATAGCATCAGCATCACCTGGGAGTTTATTAGAAATGAAAATTCTCAGGGGGCACCTGCATGGCTCAGTTGATTGAGCATCTCACTCAACTTTGGCTCAGGTCATGATCTCACGGTTCGTGAGTTCAAGGCCCGCATCCAGCTCTGTGCTGACAGTGCAAAGCCTGCTTGGGATTTTCTCTCTCCCTCTCTCTCTACTCTTTCCCTGCTTGCGTGCGCTCTCTCTCTCTCTCTCTCTCTCTCTCTCTCTCTCTCTCTGTCTCTCTGTCTCTGTCTCTGTCTCTCTCTCACACACACACACACACAAATAAACAAAAATTAAAAAAAAAATAAATGCAAATTCTCGGGCCCCACCCTAGACCAACTAAATCAAGAACTCTGAGGGTGGAACACAGCCATCCATGTTTTACCAGACCTTTCCGAGATCCTGATGACCTCTATAAATTTCGAGAACCATCAGGACGAAGGGTTGTAGGACTAGTAGGTAGCCTATGAAAATCTTAGCACAGTGGTTTGGTGCATGGTGGGAGTCTAAAAAGCAGAGTACTCTAAATATATAGTGTACTTCACTGCTTTTGTAGTCTGAATATGTCTGGAAGCTAGATTAGACAGCTACTCTTCCAACTTGAAGTCTGTTATTTCTAAGGCAAATAGGGGCCAGAGGAACCATCAGAACAATGAATCAAGGTGTATCAGAACAATCAAATCCAAGCCACCATCCTTCTTCTGTGCAGTTTAGATTTTTTTTTTTTTGAAGGCTTAAATCATGGTATTTTGGTTCTACCCAAAAGCAACTCATTGAGTGACAGAAACTCCTGCCCTGCTGCTAAGTGTTGAGCAACTGAAATGCAAGGAAAAGCTACTTATTCATGAATATTACTTATTATTGTTATCTAAAATATTATTTTTAAAAGAAAAAAGCCAAACAGATTTTTTTTAAATGGAAGTTTCCTATTCCTAATAGAATTTCTTGCAAAGTATTTTTAAAAATTTCCATACCATGAAGCCACAGAGCTTTTAGATTTATGTCTGCACCTCAGACCTTAGAGATTAGGTGCTCTCTTCCAAAAACATGACATTGGTATGCTCTTCTCATTGGGCAATGATGTTGAACTTTCTTGATATGCTCACCCCTCATCACTTCCTGCCTGGATTGTATATAGATTTTGATATCGGAGGTTTCTTATTCCCCTTTCTCCTAATCTGCCCTGCATGTGCTTTTAGATTAGTCTTTAGTAAATCATACTGCAACCAAATGTTTTCTTGTCAGAAATGCTTGATGGCTCCCCACCGCAAGCATGATAAAATTTGAACTACTTACTAGATGTGCAGCACACTTAAAGAAAAAATTCTTTTTGTCACTGCACTTAGTTTTATTGTTCACTAGTATTCTTTTACATCCCTATATTTATGCTGTATTATGACTCGCTCCTTATTCTCTAGGCCCTAGATGTTTTAAGCTATGCCTTTGTTCCCCTGTCTTTCTGCCAAGAGTGGACTCGTTGGTCACTGTGAACTGCTGTTCAGGGGCAGTTTAAATGTTCTGGTAAAAGCCTTCCTTGTTGCTCTACCTGGGCATAAGTTTTCCTTTTTCTTAGCTTCCAGAAGAGTTCGTTTCTCCATCTTAAAAAATTGTATCTTCTTTTTCCTTTATCTGTGGGTACATTTTTTCCGCCTCTGCTTGATGAAAACTTTACTGAGGGTAAGTACCAAGTCTTACCCACCTCAGCAATTCACCACCCCGAACACCTTCCCTGTTCAAGCTAAACATATCCAACTCCTCCTCCTGTAGGCTAGCTTTTATTTCACTTCTAAGTATCAACTCCTGTCCTCATTCTTCTCAAAATTAAGGCTACCAATTTAACTGAAGGGAACTGTAATAGGGAATAATTGCCATTGAGACAAAACAATGATGCGTCAAGGCCAATTAAAAAGCAGTAAAATGCTAGCAAATATACGTTTTTTAAGAGTCCTACAAAATTGCGTCTATGTTAATTTCATGTGTGCATTTCCTTTCTGTAGGTGATTTTCTTCCACCCCCACCTCCACCTCTAGATGATCCTGGTGCTCTTCCGTCTGGCTCTGGAAACTTCCCTCCTCCACCACCCCTTGATGAAGGTGCTTTCAGGGCACAGGTAAGATCTGTGGTGGAAGTCATGTTAATAAGCCATGCTAGGAAGCTCATGAATTCACTGATTGTTTCTGTGGTGGATAAACATTTATCCAGAGCCTAAAGAGAGCTTTACAACTCACAAAGAGCTAAGGTACTTTAATGCAACACGCCCCACTGAAGCTTTGCAGAGTTCTGCTGGCTTGCATTCTGAAGCCCTAGAAATCCTTTCACCTACTAATTTTGTTCTGAAACTGAAAGCCATTTTTTAGGAATGCCATTTGAGAATTCCACGTTTCCTTGTTATCCCAGGGACCAACTGTGCTTTTTTATTGCCTCCTTTCTCTATCCACAAACATTGCATTCTGCGTGGGTAAGAGTGATATTTTAAGGCTCTGGTTGGTCACTGTGGGTCCTAATTGGCCAGCAACATCTTTCTAGCAAAAGCTCCAGCAAACCTTCTTGGGATATTCTTTTCTGAGCGGGGTCAAGTGGGGTTAGGGATGCACATTATAGGATGTATCGATCTTATACAAGTGCTGTGCTCCAGGGAGTGATGATTGCACGCAGCCCACGGCTGGAATCAGAAGCAACAGTGGAAGGACTTCTCAGCCTGTAACCTTGTAGAGGCACGGGTGACCAGATGCCACCATGTAGGCAGCTAACTGCTGTTCATATCAGGAGAGAAAACTAAATAGCAATGTTATAGAATCATGGTTGTCTTTTAGGGGTGATGATGCTATTGTAGATACATAGAAGGAAAAATATATATCCAAAATATTTGGGGAGGAAATTAATGGTGTCTGGTAGTTGCTTCAAAATAAGAAGAATAGGGAGCTAATGAGCGAGAAAATAGGTGAAAGAAAGATTAGTGATGAGTTGGTAATTGTTGAGTGTGTGGAGGGAGGTTGATTCTATCTGTATTTGGTCTACCTTTACATATGTTTACAATTTCCCACAGTAAGCTTTTAAAAAAATTTTTTAATGTTTGTTTATTTTTGGAGAGAGAGAGAGAGAGAGAGAGAGAGCGCGCGCGAGTGGGGGAAGGGCGAGAGAGAGAGGGAGACACTGAATCTGAAGCAGGCTCCAGGCTGTCAGCACAGAGCCTGACGTGTGTCAAACCCACAAACTCTGAGATCATGACCTGAGCCAAAGTCAGATGCTCAACTGATTGAGCCACCCAGGCTCCCCTCATAGTAAGTTTTAAAGAAGAAAAGCCATGGGAAATCACTGCTTAAATGGTTCAGTCCATTGTCTGGCTTTCTTTCGCCTAAATTTCAGGTTGGGAGAGACAAAGGAAGAAGTGATTCATTCATTCAGCCAATATTCCGTGTGCCTGTGTGCGTACCTTTTATAACATGAGAATTCCGTAGTGAAAAACACAGACAGGATTCTACCCGCATGAAACTGCCATGTTAGTAAAACTGGTGGATGTAAACAAAATAGGTACATTGATTACGAAGAACATTAGAATGAAATCAGGGCTGTGGGTTGGAGGAAACGGTGATCCAGCGGCCTTGCTGAGAAGGGGACATCTGAGCAACGATTTGGAGTGGGGAGAAGGGAGTAAACCATGTGAGTTTCTTGGGAGTATATTTTCATATGTTAGAACTTAAGTAATAGAAGAAGCTTTTTGTACTATTGAGAAGTTAAAATTAGTGAGTTCCAGTTATAACCAGTGGCCTCCAAGTCCGTTTGGAACCTAGATTTTTCAAAATCCATTAAAAATTTTATGTATTAGATATATATATCATGGGTTTCCTACAAAAATCTTGATTTTCCTATAAAATCTTGCTGATAAAATGTTGTAAGCTAATAAAATCAAAGCTCAAATGCCACTAATGGATGGGAATCCTACAAAGTTTATATTTATTTTATGCAACAGATAGGTCCCTTGGCAAATAGAAATAATATGATCAATTTTCCTTATTTTTAGTCATCTTTTATTAACAACGAAAAAAAAAAAAAACCTCTTAAATTTGTCTTGTATATACCTTTGCTCTTATTTGGTCCAGGGCTATTCTTTGCATATTGTTGAATTGTGTAATTAAAAATTTCACTTAGTCTATTTGCTCTCTTGGAACGTTATAGAAGCTATTTTGTTGCATTTTAAATCTTCAGTTCTTAAAAGCTTGTTTGACCTTGTGACAGAAGACTTGTGTTTGTTCATTGAACAGCTTATTCTAGTTATGTGATTCTCAACAGGTCACGCTGAGTCCGATTTTTCTCATAATTAAAAGGAAGGTAACTGTCTACTACCTCTAGTAACCAAATGAAATACAGATGGATTTGAAATTGGCAAGCTATAATGGCTGTCCAGATATTTTGATATAACTATCACTATATAAAAATAACAACAGTGGTAATGATAAGACTTTGCCAAAAGGTTTAATGAAGAAGAATTCAAACATGGGCTTTCATAAAAATTACAAAAACTCTTCTCCTATATGGACCTTTCCTGATAAATGTACCAAAACCATGACTTTGTTTTTTATAAGGAAGGAAATAAACAAAATGCCGGTTGCCATGTTGGCTTATGTTCTTTGCAAAACAGAAGGAAGGATAAAAAATAAAATTGAATTTGCCAAATGGGAAAGGACACATCTGGTAGGAGAGGCGTGTTATTCTTGAAGATATGGAAGATTGTTGGCAAGTTCAAAAGCACAAGGGTATGCCTGTCCCTTGTGTGCGAATGATAGCGACTTGGCCCTGGTCTGGCCATAGTTGCACCACCTTGGAATATGAACTGTATAATAGAGCCCAAAGTAAGGTAATCGCTGGAGAAAATTTTGCACTTTTTCCTCTCGGCCCTGGTGAAACTTCAGGTTGCCAAGTCCAAATTATAGCTGGTGAATGTGTTTTTATGTAGAAGTCTGTTTATGCTTCTAGCCAGATTTTCAGGTCAGAGTCAAAATAATGTCTACTAAGTACGACTATAGAATTTTAAGATTGTCAGAGCGGAAAAGGACCTCAGAGATCATTTAGTCCAACCCTGGCGCCAGCCATTAGTTACAGCCTCTTCAGGGACTCGCTAAATGGATTAGTTCCCTGTGTCTGCAGATGGAGAAACTGAGTCTCATGAAGGTATGGATCTCATCATCCATACCTCATTTTGAGAAACCTTGACTTCTGGATTTGTCCTTCCTGTTGTACCAGATGGCCTTGCACATGGCTTTGCTTTAGTCTTCCATCAGCCTGTAAGTCTCTGAGGTTCAGATGATGGGATTATATGGTTTTATTTTGAAGGACTAGGCGTTGCTGGAGTTTTGCTTGGTGTCCTGTAGTTTTTTACCTGCTACACACTTTTTACGTATTTTTTTGCAAAAGGCAAATACTTCAATTCAAAACTTCTTGTTCTGAGAATTCTTTTTTTTTTTTTTAAGAGAAAAAAATGAATCTTGAAAAACAAATGAGGGCTTTATCTTTTGTTTTCTGTCAAGATCAGTTTGACCTCAGGACCTGTGAGATTTGGAGTGACCATTTCACTCATTCATTTATTCTTCATTCATTCAAGACAAATTGAGTAGCTTCTGTAAGTAAAGCATATATACTAGGGATTGTAGCCTTAGAACTTGGTGTCATGGGTCCAGTTCCTGACTCTCGACCTTAGGACCGTGTAGTGTTGTTCTAATCTGATGCTGCAGTTGTTAATTTCTTCCTATTTCAGCCAGCTAATGGGCAGGCCTATAGCATTGCTTAGAGTAGTTTCACAGGTGGAGAATGTCTCATAGAATTTCAGGTTTACAAGGGAATTAGAGATCATACTTCCAGTCTCTCTCTTTTGTTTGGATCCCCCAATTTTTTTTTTTTCTAGTTTAACAAGATATTTATGGGTGACTATTGCAGGTGAGATGATGTTGACGGATAAGGAGATGGTTCCCGGATAGCACCTCTGAATCAAATCACAATAGTACCTCTGAATCACAAACACAGCTTTTAAGCTACAGTGTTCCATAGTAAATTATTTCTTAGTCATCATGCTCTGATCAGAAGGACAAGCTAAGTGCTATGTTGTGGTAGAGGGTGGGAGAAATAAATTAACTAACTGGAGATCTATGAGAAGACTTCTTGGAGACAGTGTGAACTGAACTGAACTTTGATGGCTGATGTAGGACCTTAATTTTCAGGTGGGGTGAATAGATCTATCTTTTAGCAATAAACTAACAAATGTAAGAGTATTGAAGGAGAGCACGAAGTAGTGTGGTAGGCCTGCATTGCCAGCTGTGGAATCTGCCCTTTATTCTGAAATCATTGTCAGTTTACTGCAGGTGTTTGTTAATATTTTAAAGATAAGGGTGACATCTCCAGATCTGTTGTTGGATGCCATGTGGTATTTTTTACACACCATCAGGCATAACCTGTTGCACTTGTGGGAAACCCCATGCAGACAGCTCTGGCACACTTCCTAGAAGTCCTCAGGGACTTGTCCTGATGGCTTCTAAGTTCAGGTGCCCGATATTTAACATCCACTTTTTGTGAGATCTCTGCTTGACTTTTCTTCATGACCTCCAGTTGATATCTCCTCATTGCCTCTCTCTTTGTGACCCAGTCCCGTGGTTTGCTTTAACTTGCCCACTCTCCAGAGGTCTATATACTCCTTGTTTTCATCTTCCTTTTTCTGCTCATCCCAGTGGGATGGCCACAGCCACATTTGCTGCTGTCAACACAGTCCCTCCACCTTAGACAACAGACCATGATGCCTGTTGTCGGTTGCTCCTTAATGTTAAAAACTCCTTTCTCTTATGGAACGGAAATTTGTGTCTGTATGATTTCTTTCTTTCTTTTTTTTTTTTTAATGTTTATTTATTTTTGAGACAGAGAGAGACAGAGCATGAACGGGGGAGGGGCAGAGAGAGGGAGACACAGAATCGGAAGCAGGCTCCAGGCTCTGAGCCATCAGCCCAGAGCCCAACGCGGGGCTCGAACCCACGGACCGTGAGATCATGGCCTGAGCCGAAGTCAGACACTTAACTGACTGAGCCACCCAGGCGCCCCACCTTTCCTTTTTTTTTAAGTTTTATTTTA